TACACACACCCACACACATACACATACACACATACATACATACATACATAACCTCAAAGCCAGAGAGCTAGCTTGGCAACGGCCTTACCGCAATGTCCCCATGGCCGACCGAATGAGGCACCGGCTCCACGACTGGCACCAACTCTGGCAGCCTACCCAGGACAACCAGCCCTTGGTCAGGGACTCTCTACAGGCCAGAGCCCAACATCAAGCAACTCAACTACCGGCGCTCACGATAGGCCACCTGGCCAGGGTTCTCAAACAACTACCCGACCGAGCATGTGGTCCAGATGCTATCAGCACACAGCTTCTGAGGAACACACCACCTCAGGCTTTGGCAACTCTGCTCCAGATCCTCCAGGAAATGGAGAACTCAGCCACCTTGCCGACCCAACTACAGATGAGCCTGGTCGTGATGTTGGCCAAAAACGAAAAGGTAGAGCGACCTATCACCCTCACCAGTGTCCTCTACCGAACTTGGTGCCGACTCCGCAAGAACATTCTCGACAGCTGGCAACTCAATCTGCCACACTCTATGAACTACGACCGCGCACGCCCTGGCGCAACTGCACTCCATGTTGCACTCGAGAGACTACTCCGCCAGGAAAGCACCAAGACCCTAGCACAACATGGCATCACTGTCCTCCTGGACATGAGCACCTTTTACGACACCATCGACCTCAAGACGCTCCAGTCCGTGGCCCAGGCACTGGACTATCCTCCCCTAGCACTGGAGTTCGCGATGCAGGTCTACACAGGGCCCAAAGCAGTGATGGCAGACTCCGAGCTCAGCCACTGGTTCCATGTCACCCATGGGGTTGCTGCAGGATGCCCACAGGCTCCACTGTTGGCCAAAGCCTTTCTTCAACCAATCCTCAGCCCCTTCCAGGCCAAACATCCAGATTTGCACCTCAACGGATGGGTCGATGACATTGGATTTGATGGCAGCCATCCCAATCCAGACACCCTAGCCAACCGCATCGTGCAGGCCTGGCGTGAGCTCCGCACACAACTCCTCGCATCAGGCCCCAAGGTCAACAACCACAAAACGGCCTTCATTGCCACAGACAGAGCCACCCACAAAGCACTGGCCAAACTCCTTGGCCCAGACGATCCGCCCATCCAGTCAGTGATGCGAGATCTCGGGATCGATCACCAAGCAGGTCGAAGACGCCGCATCACCACATTGCAGAACCGGTTCAAGAAGAACAAGCAGCGGCGCATCAAACTGCGCACATTGAGGCTTCCCAATCTCCGCACCAGACTCAGGCTCCATCGCGGAGGCATCCAGCCGGTTGCTTTGTGGGGAGTCGAAGGACAAGGGCTCGCTCCTCGCTACCGACAAGCCCTCAGACAAGCACTTGCCACCCACCTTGGCCTCCACACAGGCGGACTCACGGATGTCATCTACGACCAGTACCAAACCAAGTACCTGGATCCTGCAGACCAAGTGGTAATCCAACATGTCCAGGCAATCCATGCCCTCATCACTCACTGGCCCAGCGACCAATCTCAAAGAATGGGGGTGGCACACAGACAGCCTTTATGACTGGCACCGGAACGAGACGGCCTTTATGACAGAAGCCCACATCGATCTTCGCCAACCCTGGTGGCAGGTTGAAGAACTGCTCCAAGCTGAGGCCAAACAACAGCGCCAGCATCGTTTTGCCAACAGACGAAACTGCCAAGGCCTCGTTAGCGGGATCGACTGGACCACGCCTTCCAAAATCACCAAGCACGTCAGCAAGGCCCAGGCCAACCACATCCGCACCTGGAACCAAGCGGCCATCCGGTTCAAAGCCGACACCGCCACCCAGCAGTGCCCCCTCTGCCAGGTCCCAGCAACGCCCAAACACATCGCGTGGCTATGCAAGTGGCATCACAACCAAACGCACCAGCCTCTCCCAGTGCCTTGGACCGAGCGGCTGCAAGATCCATTGGAGGAACCACTCTGGGCCTGCGGATGGACCCCTAAGGAGCCACAAGATCACCTCCAACGACCCCTTGCACTGGAAGGACATGGCTGTTGGCAGTCACTCGAACCTCTTCCACTCCAACCGTGGCAAGGGCTCTCCGTCACAATAGATGCCACTCCCACCTCCGGCGACAAAAGATCCCAAGCCTGGATCTTCGCACTCTGCATCCATGGCTATTCGCTGGGAGCCTTACAAAGAAAAGGGACTATCACTGGCATGGCGAGAGGACCACAGTCAAAGGCCAGAGCCATCTTTCAAATGCTCCTCACCTTGGCTCAGTTCATCCAGACGCCAACCAGGGTGATTGTCCAGGTCAGCTCGGCTTGGGAAGCCTGGACCAACCCGGCCAAGAGGAAGGGCTTCCATGACCTGGTCCAGGGCAGCCGGCAGAGTACTTCACTCTGATCACGCCCCTATACATCCACAAAAACCACAAGACCCCCGATGCTCCAGGAAATGAACCACATCTACGCCAGAGACAAAGGGATGCAGCCCTAGCGGCATGGGAGCGCGCAAGCAGCATCCACAACCCAGACAAAGAAGCCTGGCAGAGCATCCTCGACCAAGACCACCTCGAGATCTACAAGCATGCGGCTGCCCGTCTGGCCAAAATCTATGATGACAAGGATCACTACTTGCACACCAAGCCAGGCCGAGCAATTGGCCACAAAACAAAGCAGAGGAAAAAGACCATTGCACAATGCCAGCAGCCCTGGCAACCGGGCAAACATCAATGGAAGGCCCACCGCAGCGGCTACCAGTGCCACACCTGCCAAACGCGGGTGCACCAGGGCTTAGCTGCTTCCATGATCGAAGAACGGCTTCAGGAAGATTGTGCACCACTCACAGCACTTGCCCCGGAACCCGACCTCCCACCTGAGCGGGCAGTTGGAAAGAAACCACCAGAGCCAGCCGCATTGCCTCCTTGTTTCAGATCCAGCAAGAACATCCAACCACTCCTGATGTTCACCATCTTCAGGAGACGACAGGCTACTTGAAGGGCACCAAATGCAACCAAGCCATCCACAAAAGGGCCAATGAAGAGCTGTTCAACCAATTCCTGAACAGCACCTGCATTGATGCTCCCTTCAACCGAGAGCATTCCGCACATGGGACACACACCTTGTGGCAAATTGGCAAAGGCATCCAATGCAAAGGGTGTGGGTTGCACACCCACCTTGATGCTCAAGACCGCCTGATCCTCACGAAAGGGCTCCAAAAGGAGTGCAAAGGTCACAAACCGACCTCACCCACTCTGGCGCACTTCTTCAGCCAGGCAAGTCCTTCCAGCCAGACGGCGCCCTCGCCACCAGAGGCCACACACGGCTCTGCTGCCGCAAACACACCAGCCAACACAGGCCACCACTCTGGCCATGATACCCAGCCACAGCCTGAGCATCTTGCAAGTGCGTCACAGGCTCCGGAGACTCTTTCTCCACCGGTGCCCAAGAAGCTCAAATTCTCAGCTTCTCCTCCGGCTGACGATGCAGAGATGTGCAACAATGAAGAAGCCGAAGAAGAGGCAGAACGCACCTTTGACCCGGAGATCCAGGTCGATTTCTTCTGAGCCAAGGCAGGGTATCTGAGGCCATCCGAGCCACATGCTGACTGGCCACTGTGCCTTCATGCATCCAACTTCAGGAGAAAAAAATACATACATACACGCAGACACACACATACATACATACTTACTTACTTACTTACTTACTTACTTACTTACATACTTGCATGCATACATACATACATGCATCCATACATACACACATACATACGTACATACATACATGCATACATACATACATACATACATACGTTACATGCATGCATGCATGCATGCATACATACATACATACAAGCCAACCCGCCACCACCAGCCACAGATGAGAGCATGCGCAAGAAGGCCGCCAGGGCTCAAACGATCAAGCGCCTCCTCACTGCTCAGGAGGATCAGCCACCAGGCCCGCAGGCCCACCATCATGAAGAGACAGCCGGATATCTCAGATGCCTGGAGTGCGGCATTGCCATCCACAAGCGCACCAATGAGGAGGCATTCCAGACCTACCTCAGCGATCCATGCATTGATCAGGCTTTTGATGGCCCACATGAGGGCCACTCAAGTCACCGGCTTTGGCAGAAAGGCAGCAGCCGGCTGCACTGCACCTCATGCGGGCCCCAATTGCACCTCGACAAAGAGGCCAGAGTGATCCTCACCAGCGGCCTCAAAAAAGAGTGCAAGGGCGCGGCTATTCGTGGATCTCCGCCCATCAGTGAGATCTTCAAGAAGCAGACCCTGGCCAGCAACGCCAAGGAACCCACATTGGACGAGTATGCTCGAGATGACACGGCTGCTCCCACACCCAGGCGCCTCGATTTCACAGGCCCTTCCTTCGCGGCCACTGAGGCGCATCAAGAACGATTGCCACCTATGCACTCGTCACAACAGGCCATGATACCCAGCCCTGACGGTGACAGTGCTGACTGAGCAGTCTATGCAAAGGCCCCAGCTAAAGCCGCTGCAGCCATCCTGACGACCCACGCATGAGGACCGGGACTGGCCATGACACCCAGCCATCATCCGGACCTGTCAGGTGTGGCAACCACAGAAGCCCCACCGCTTTCAACAAGCGAAGGGGGTGAAGAGGAAAACATGGAGAATGACGACTACTTGGAAGTGGAGTACTTCTAGAACAAGGGCTGCCGCCGCTCTCGACCGTGCCACAGAGCACCAGGCCAAAAAGGCCAGAGACTGAAGCGGAAAAGGCACCTCTAGGAAAAAATGCATACACACACATACATAAATACATAAATACATACACAACTACATAAATACATACATACATACATGCATGCATGCATACATACATACATACATACATACACGTCATATTTTATCAAGAGAGAGAGAGAGGGAGGTAGGTAGGTGTATATACAGTATATATATATGTTATATTTGTACACTGCATATATTACTAGGAGGGAAGGTGGAGAATGCGTCATAGCCTGTTTGCATTTTCGCAGTCCGAGGCATTCAGCAGACCTCCCCGCAGAGCTACACGAATACAGGCTTTGACAAAGGGCATTTGGCACCTTCTTTGGCCATGAGTTTTCAGAGGGATGAGCTCAAAAAATTGAAACGGAGCCCGTGGAAATCAAGCTACTATGCGAGCAACATTGCTCCACAGCAACTCTGATGGCATAAAGTAGGCAATCTTACAACTCTTACAGCTTACAGGCATGCGGCGTCAGCTTGTCCCAGACCGCGCCACCCGCTGTCAGCCCAATTGAATTGCTTTGATTCACAGTTTAAAGTTTCAAGGCATGACAAAATGAACCAACGATGCAACTTGGCATGATTGTGCCCAGTGTTCTGTTGCCATTTGCCGTGGGCAAGATTGCGTTGTCATTGGCAAGGTTGGCAGACTTTAGAAGAGGCGCTGCACAAGTATGCTGAAGAGCTGCCCAAGGCTGCTTAACGATGAACAAACACGTGCAGTACGAGAGAGCGAGGGAGGGAGGGAGGGAGGCACAAAACAGTGCAGCAGTTTTGTTGCAAACTGAGTCTGTCCCTGGCGTCTACGTGGTGTCCGGTGTGGGCTACTGGAACAGAGATGAGCCTCGAAGGTGGGATGCAGATGGCGTGCCTTGCTTGCAAAGTCTTTTTCACATCAGCACGTGATCATCGAACTTTGGAGAATACTGCTAGGCTCCTAGACCGAGGAATGTCATTTGCGATGTTTATGTGGCGATGAATGCGGCTGCCGAAATTGCACCGACACTTATGTGACAGTCCCGACATTTTATTGGATACTTGCCGCCGTGGAGGACCCAGCTTACTAGACCAAACAAGCGCCTTTTCTTTTTCATGTGGTATTGCCATAGAGTTGACTTCAATGTGTAGTGATTCCCTAGGTTGTCATTCTGTGGACCACAGGATCCGTAGTTTGATGATGTGCACTCAGTGCACTCTACAGCCTACAGTCATGGTTCATAGGTGTGCGGACAGACTGAACCTGTTGTACAGTGATCACCAAAGGTAGCCTGGTAAGGACTACCTTGAGTTTGCTTTGCGAAGCAAAGGGGCTGGCTTGAGAGCCTGCTCGGGACTAAAGATTGGTAGATCAATGTCAAACACCCCCAACGCCCCCCTCCCATGTGATGATTCATTGATAAATCAGTTGTTTTGCGCCCCCTCCCCCTCCCCTCCCCTCCCCTCCCCTCCACTCCCCTCCACTCCCCTCCCCGTCCCCTCCCCTCGCCAGCACTACTAGCATTCTGGACACACCGTCACACCATATAAGGTGAAGTCATGCGCTTAGCAGTCACAGCAATACGACGCTGGCCATGAGGTTGCGCAATACAGCACGAACCCTGCACAATGAGGTTGCGCAATGCGGCTTCGATACTGCGCGTACGCGCCCGGCAGCCTGACATAGCGCATACTGCGTTCACAGACCATATTGCTCGACACCAACGAGCATCGATGCAACACAGCCTCTCTGCAAAGCCCTGTGGAGAAACCTCTCGCTTCGCGGAGCCTTGCGTGGCCACATCTTACCGCATCGTGGAGCACCACTATACAGCTAGTTACGCACCCTTCCCATCAGCCACCCACCATAGCGTGACGTCCATCCCTGGCAGCGCCGGCGGCTTCGACGCAACGCGTGCAGGCCTGTAATCCTGACACAGTGCGTGTAGCTGTGGGAAGATAGCTGGTTAACATGCGAGCGTTTACGCATTGCGACTTACCTTTACACAAACGAGCGTCGACGCAACGCAGCCTCTCTGCAGAGCCGGGTGGCGCAATCTGATCGCAACGGTGTTCCTCTTGAGCCTTCTTGTGCTCTTTGGCTTTGTTGGTTTCATCCATGATTGACCAAGGGGAACGTTCCTGAAGCACCGGAGACAGTCCCTCACCAGAAAAGGTCCCGACAGCTACCCGGTCCGTCTCTACCTTTCGTGTTTCCCCGCTCAAGTATGACATCTGTCCTGTGATGATGTGATTTCTGTAAAGAAATAGGTCTTTGGTGACAGTCTAAAGCGCAAGCTTTGGACACTCAAAGCGTTGTTTTCCTGAAAGAGCTGCAAGAAACAAATTGGATTTTTGCATAATCCGTCAAGAATGCCATCCTCACCTGGTCCCATATAGATTCAATTCCTGAAGGAGCAGTTCCCCGCTGCCCCGGGTTTTTATCGTTTGGCCCAGTAAGCAGATGATATCGAACTTTATAAAACTGTAGTGCACTTTGGATATGTATATAATCGACTTTTGACACATGTCCACATGGTCAGTTTGTTTTTTGTATCATCATCATCATCTCACATTTTCGTCGCTTGGGCTGATCTTGCCCCACCCTAATCTCATCTTAAGCCCATCCCTGCCCACCAGAGCTCTCCTCGGTTGGATTGCCACAGCAGTTCTCAGGTGGCAATTGCGGCTGGCGGTCAACGGTAAACTATATTGCAAGTAGTCCAACACCAACAGAGAGAAACAACTTCTTGTTGCCAATAATGCTGAACTGGATGTGCAGCTTGTGCAGACAGTTGGTAGGACAGCAGTGTCACACTCCCTTCATCTTTGTATTTTTTTTTCGTGCTCTTTCCGCTCTGGTTGGTCTTGACCTGCGCATCATTTGCAGCCTACTGTTTGGGTAGATTATATGCTGATTTTTTGGTTGCCCGAGAAGAGCCAAAAGCTCTGACAAACATGTAGGGAAGTAAACACGAATGAGGATTCAAGCCTCACAGGTTCCTTTTTGTTTTGCCCACCCACCCACTCCAGAGGTGGAAGAGGGCGAGACATCTCAATGCATTCAAAGGATGTGACAAACCACTGTTGGTGAAATTTCAACCAGCAAAACGGTGCTCAGCTTTGTCATTGGAGGGATGGAAGGAGGGTTTGATTTCAAGTGCACCTTAGTGTTACTCAGTTTTGCGAGGGTCCGCCCGCTTGCCTCCCCACTTCTCCCATCACATCTCGCTGCGCGCAGCTGCCTCTGCACGATTTGCGATTCACCTTATCACGAAAGGTAGCCCTTTAGGGGATACCTTGAGTTTGTCTTGCGAAGCAAGTGTTGGGACGTCCGGGTCTAATAATTGATCGCTCAATTCAGACCCCCCCCGACCCCCCCCCCCCCCCATTGATTTTTAAAACAGACCCCCCCCCCCCCCTCCCCTCCTCTAAAATCAATTCTCTCCTGGAGAACGTCTTCGTGAGCCTCTCATGATTTCAGGATAGTTGAAACCCTCTTGAACATTTAGAAAGAGTGAATATGAAATTCCAATCACGAAAGGTGTTCCCCGAGGGGATACATACCTAGAGTTTGTTTTGTGAAGCACGTCAATTCTCTCCTGGGGAGCGTCTTCGTGAGCCTCTTATGGTTTCAGGATAGTTCAAATCCTATGATGTTCCGATTCAATGCTCACCGATGATCTGAGCCATGGGGCAAGTTTGTTTTCCTAAGAATCTTTTTGAACCATTTCGAGAGCACATGTTTGAACATTTAAAGTGCATATGAACATATATTTACGAAAGGTCGCCTCCGAGGGGATAAATCACCATGTCGAACATTGCATTTTTGTTCCTGCCTCTCGCGTTCTCTTCTCTTCCCGCTGTCCTACCTTTCGTGTCTCCCTCCTCTCAAGTATAGTCCTGTTGAGCGACAAGGTTGATGTGTTTGACATTGGGCGTTTCAGGTGTCACAGTGCAACAAGGAAGTTTTCAGTTGCAGAGAAGTTTTTCTATTTGCTACTTAGCTTCTAGCAATTTGTAGCTAGTTTTAGCTTGCCAACTTGCTAAGGAAGGCTGCCTGTGACCCGGATAGTAGATCTTCGTTCGCGGTCATTGCGGAGAATGACCCTGAGTCAGGCAGTCTGGAAGGCGGGAAGGCTGGTTGGCCCCCCTCAGCATTTAAGACGTATTCAGTTCAGAACCTTCAGACGTTCTTCGGCATCAACCTGAATTTCCCGGACGAGTGCAATCCATCTGAGGCGGTTGACCTAGTTCCTAAGTGGAATACAGGCAATGGTGCGCCGCTTGTGCCAAGTGATTCGAAGAACGGGAAACTATCAATATCTTTGATGAAGCTAGGAGGCAAACGAGTCATGTACAAAGAGCAGGTCTGGCTACACTTTGAGTCAGCCTTTGGCCCCTCCTCCGACTTCCATGATGCCTTCACACTCGAACCGCCACCACCTTCGTCCGCGGACACGCCTGGCTGGAAAGCCGACTGCAACTCCCTGATTGCACAGCAGCTTCCAAAGCTGAAGAGCTGTAGCCAATCAGGGTCTAACATTGCATTGAAATTCTCACAGCCCAGCAAAGGTGGTACTTTTCTGTTCACGCTCTCTTTAGACGCTCCAGCTGGACCGTTGGCCCACAACAACTGGACTGCACGGGTCGCGGGCAAAGGCATTCCCGAAATGGTGGCGATGGGAAGGGGCTTTGAGCTCCTTCCGTCGCCTGATTGGAAACCCGAGCAGCCATCGCATGGTTCGCAGGGGGGCTTCTATCACTACTGGCCATTCTATGCAGCGGCATCTCTTCTCGTTTTCTTGTTCTGTGTGGGCTGCATTCGGCGCTTTTGGTGTACTCACACGGTACGCGAGCGCCACTGATTTGCATTTTTAAGGATCTTGAATCTTGCTCTCAGAAATCGTTAGGAACCTACATGCTGTGCAGACAGACAGGAAGAGAGAGAGAGAGAGAGAGAGAGCGAGAGAGAGGAAGACATAGCATAACACAGACACATACATGTTGTGTATATGCATGCACATAAAAACACACACACACACAATATACATCACGCACACATAATTAATTATGTCATAATGATGACTCGTGATTCTCACGGGGAGTGTCACGGAGCAAACGTCAGTTTGCGGCTCAGGCCTCCCCCTTGGAAGGTGGTAGGGGGATCCCGCTGCGCCGCAATGGAGGGTGCCGCACAAGAGTTGGCGTTGTGCGGCACCCTGGCCGGGTTGACAGACCCGGATGTGGAGGTCTTGGTGGCACTGTGTTGGAGTGCCACCAAGCTCGCAACTCTGCGAGGATGCCGTGGCGAGATCTTGGCTGGGATTCTCGCTGCGGCAAAGAAGAAGAGGGAGGCCTTCGAGGTCACGGTGGCCGATCTGCGTGAGCTGGTGAGGCAGTGCGACAACAGGTCGGCGAACATCCACCGAGCTGATGCTGGCCGGGGATCGCAGGAGCTACTAGAGGCTCATTTGGCAGATCAGCGAGCGAAGAGAAGGCGGACCTTCGAAGGCCTCGAGGAGAAGGAGGTGATCGAGAAGATCAAGATGGTGGGAAGTGCAAAGGTCACGAAGTGGCCAACCCGACTCGGGAAGAAGTTGCACATGGCCGGAACGGACTTGGCTTTGCGGGAGCTGGCCGAAAGGACACAGCGAGACAGGTGGCTGTCCGAGCTTCGCGACATCATGAAGAGGGCCAAGCTCCCGGTGGTGGCACGTTCGAGTGAAGAATCACTCTTGCTCAGGATCGCCAAGGGCAGGCGACCTAACACATTGAGAAAGCATGTCAAAACTTGGCATAAGGTGGAGCAGTGGCTGCAGTCCACCTACAGCTGGTCTTGGCCGACCTCGCCACAGACTTCGCCGAGTACATCGAAGCTATCGTGCAAGAACCTTGCGCACGCTCTGCACCAGAGGCTGCTTACAAGACGCTCATGTTCTTGGAGTACGCGGGCGAGGTCAATGAGGCGGAGTTCATACATCGCTCGTCGGCGGTCAAGAACGCCATCGAGGAAGCTCACATGAGGCTGGCGTCTCGGGAGATCAAGCCATCACGGCAGGCGTTGCTCATCCCATTGGCCATTGTGGAGGCCATGGAGGAGATGGTGTTGTGTGATGACGCCAAGCCGTTCTCAAGAGCCTACGCATGGTTCCGTCTGGTCAAGATCTGGACTGGCATGCGCTTTGACGACACGAGGGGCACGCCAAACCGCGGCATTGAGCTGCGAGAGACACACCTGGTGGGAACCATCCACAAGTCCAAGACATCGGGGCCAGGCAAGCGCATCCTGCTGTTGCCCTTCTACGTCAGCAAGGAGGCTTGGGTGAGCAGGTACAACTGGCTGGAGGTTGGATGGAAGATTTGGACCCACATGGGCATGGAAGCGGGCATGTTGACCCGCGATTTTATGCTGGCCTGGCCCACGGCAGACAGGAGATCCTTTGCTCGGAGGATGGCGGACTACTCGACGGCATCCGCTATGTCCCAAGCTCTGTTTGGGGAACTGTGGGCTACCCAAGAGGGTAAGCGGGTGTCGCTGCTGTTCAACGGAATCGGCGCGTTGTGGACAGAACACAGCGAACGTGCGACCATTAGGTCGTGGGCGGCCGCGGCCAGGATTCCGCCGGACATCAGGCGACAGATGGGTCGCTGGCGACCGGCAGCAGATGAGTCCTATGAGCGGGTGGCAAGAGCCAATATCTTGAGGGCCCAAAAGGTCATCGCCTCGTTCCTTCGTGACAACAAAGGCAGGGGCGATCCTATGGACGAGGCGGCTGTCTACGAGGCCGTAGGGCTGCGCATGGGGCTGTTGGGCTATCCGGACGAAGCACTGGAAGAGCAGGCGGGCTTGCTGCATCGCTTTCAATCTGAGGAGCTAGCTGATGAAGCGAGCTGGAGGCCGAAGTGGACCCCATCAGGTCCGGTGGTGTTAGTGGAGCCCGATGATCCAGGCGACATCAACGATGCAGCGACGGACACAGGTGATGCTGGCTTCGAATCCGAAGGGGAGCTGGAGCCAGTGGCAGGAGATGATGTGGTGCCGGCGGAGGCCGTGGCAGGCAAGTTCGTGGTGTCCATAGTTGGGCGATCGCAACGCGAACGCTGCATCGAGTAGGAGAGTGCCACCGAAGACCAGGTGAGCACTATGCACAGTTTGAGATTTTGGGAGATGAACCTCCCGACCCGAGCAAATACCATCGGGCATGCCAGAACTGCTTCGGCAAAGGGGCGGCCGTGGCAGGAAGCTCTCTGGAAGACGACAGTTCTGGAGAGGTGGACTCATCGGATTCGATGGAGTCGGAAGTTGAGGCATCGTCGTGAGACTCGCAGGACTCACGGTGAAAAGGGGGGAGAGATCTGCACAGAGGTGAAGTGTTCGGCATGCAGTCCGCACGAGAAAGCCGGGCACAGGCGAAGGAAGGCCTGCTGGTGCAGGCGAGAGGGAGTGCTAGAGCACGACAAAGAGTTGTGTGAGTTCTTGTGTTACCTCACTTGTTGCATGTGCATCATGTTTCGAAGTCGTGCCGGTTGAGTTGTACTGACAGGTGGATGTGATTCATGATGGGGCTCCAGCCCGAGGGGGTCGGCCGTACCGGTAAGCGGGGGGGACCCTTTCTCGCGGGGGGGGAACGTGCCCTCGCGAGCACTCATGGCTGGGGCGGCTGGACCAGCAGCGGCGCCGGGGCCGGAGATTGGCCATGACACGCCGGGGAGGCGTGCGAACGCCATAGCGCTGCTGGACGCAGATCTTCATGGCTTGCTGCAGATCAAGGAGGTCAGCGAGACGATACAAGCCAAGTTGTCGGTGGCCAAGGTTCGTACAATCAGTCGGTTGAGTACAGTGGCCGACAACAGAGCTGCTATGAGGAAATTTTGTGCTGACGTTTTGGGCTTGGACGAGACGAACGACGTCATCGACATCGCCTCAATGGTGGATTCATGGGAGTCCTCGTCTACCAGGATGACGGTCAGGCACAAGGCCGAGGCAGAAGCGGGACTGGCAAGTCAGCCTAGAGCCTTGAACAAAGTGGAGATCCAGGACCTTCTGGCGAAGTTCGAGGCGGTCCATGGCATCAAGCTGGAGGACAGGAGTGTGCCCGCCGCATCCACCTTGGAACAGATCTTCGACCAGGTGGAGCAAGGCGAACTGAAGAACATGAGCTTGGTGCAGTTCGTGAGCCGAGAAGACTCGGAGGCTGACGTGTTGGGCGCCACGATTGAGAAAGGTACGGGGGCACTGAAGGTCAAGAAGGGCTATGGCGAATGTCCAAAGCCCAGGACGCCCGAGGAGTTTAGACGCCGCATGGCGGTGGTCTCCCACTCGTACCTCTTGGCTCAGTTGAAGTTCCCGCAGAAGGCCATCCTGCGGGACTTGCAGCCCATGCACTTTCTGAAGTACCTGGACCTGATGCTTGGTGAGCATGTCCTGGGCCTCAAGGCTAAGAACCAGGACGGAGAGACAGTGGCATCTCCGGAGTTCGATTTGGTCCTCTCCTATGACTTTCAGGTGAGGCGCTCCATGGTCAAGTTGGCGAACGAAGGTCGACTGCTCCACGAGGCCTTGAAGGAGTCCATGCTGGATACAACGATCAAAGAAAGGTACTTCTTGACACCGAATGTCTACTCCCAGGTAGCAGGGCATGCAAGGCAGCCGCCTTGGAGATCCAGGAGCCCACCAACAGAACGTCCATGGGGAGCAGATCGTGGTCGAGACTGGGACAAGGGCAAAGGCAAGTCCAGAAAGGGCAGCTCGAAGGGCAAAGGCAAGAAGGGAGGCAAACAGCTGCATGACCGCACCCCTGATGGACGTCAGATCTGCTGGCGTTGGAACAATCCCAAGGAAAGGTGCCGCTTCAACTGTGGTCGCCTGCACGTGTGCCAGATTTGCTTCGGTCAGCATCCAATGCACGCGTGCGATGGCAGTGGCAAGAGCAAGGATACCTCTGGGGGAGTCTCAGAGGGAGGAGGAAAGGGCGCCTGACGGCGCGAGAAGGTGGATCCGGCCCCAGATCCGCCGGTGACAGGGGACACAACGAGGGGCACACGTCAAGGGGAGGCCATGAGCGTGCTCTACCTCTTCAGTGGGGCACAGAGGAAGTCATCAGTGACATCTGTGCTGCAAGACCTTTGCCGAAACAAAGGGCTTCGATGCAAGGTGCACGAGGTCGATATCCAGAACTCTCCAGACTGGGACCTGACAAAGGGAGCCGTGCAGCAGGCACTTCTTGACAGGATCAAGAAAGGAGAGTTCGACGTGGTCTTGGTGACACCTCCGTGTTCAACTTGGTCACGGGTGAGAGGAGCCAACTGCAGAGGCCCACCAGCGATTCGCTCAAAAGACTATCCATGGGGGTTTCCGTGGTTGTCATCACGCCACCAGAAGGATGCAGAGTTGGGCAACATCCTCATTGTCTTCATGCTGGAGGTGCTTGAGACCTTGGGAGATCACCCAGTGGCAGCTTCGGGCCGAGCAATTATCATCTTTGGAGAGCACCCTGAGGATCTTGGAGTGATTCGGCGGGAAGAAGACGGCATGATCATGGAGCCGGCTTCCATCTGGCAGCTGCACCGCATGCGAGCCCTGCTCTTTGAGCGTGCCGCCCTGGACCTGTTCACGGTGGTCTTCAATCAGTGTTGCTGGGGGGCGCCATACCGCAAGCCTACTCGTCTCATCACAAACCTCCAGGCATTGCGGCAATGGGGTGCTTGCCAATGGCCAGTCTTCGATGCTTATCGCAACTACGTGGGGCCCATTCTCGAGTGCACCTGTCACCCCACGGTTACACTGGCCAGATCTCGAGAAGACACCACTTTCCGGACATCGAACACCTCCATCTATCCTATGGCCATGGATGCCGCCTTGGCCCAAGCTATCCTGGAGCAATGGGTTCATGCTCCCCTTCCAGCTAAAGAGGGGGAGGTGGAAGGGAAGCAACAGCACAAGCCGGTGGACCCAGGTGGAGGTAGAGAGAAAGGGCTAAAACGGAAGCTGGCGGAGGTCGACAAGCAAGAGAAGGAGAAGGTGGAGGCGGAGTCTAGCTCGAAGAGGGTGGCCCCAGCTTCTGGACCGCCCATTCAGGTCAGCTACAAGGGCGAAACCAGGGCCCTCCATGATGGAGCAGGTCTTTGCTCTCCTGGTCGATGGCCGGTGGGGAAGAGGAGGTTGCCTGTCACGGAGAGAGAGAGGGCCACGATTTCGTTGTTTGAAGAATCATTCGAGTCCTGGTTGTCGACGATTGGAGCGGACAAGGCGAAGGAGATCTTCTGGTCTATGGCGGCAGGGAAGGTCAAGGAGTCTCCGTTTGGAGAAGAGATGGCGGAGGCAAGAAGGGCCTTAGATGAGCATCTGGGTCGATGGGGCTTGAACCCCTGCCGTGCAGAAGGAGACCGGCAATCGGAGATCAACTTCAGAAGATTGCGGGCACTGGCTGAGGCCCTCGAGGACGAGGATTTCGAGTTCCTGGGCGAGGTAGCCGAGAGGGGAGTCAGGCTCGGGGTGGATTTGGAGATGCCTCGAACTCCTCTGGTCTACGAAGAGAAGACCAAATGGACGGTTGATGCCACCGACGAAGTGATGAGGGACATTCTGGCAGACAACTATGAGTCCGCGGAAGAGAACGCGGAAGACATCGCCAGACAGGTCCTTCAGGAGGTTGAGAACGGCACGATAGTCAGAATGATGGAGCACGAAGCCAAGAGAAGGTTCCGGGGCAGACTGGCAGTTGCAGCCCTAGGTGCAGTGCCCAAAGAGCTCGGTACCAAGAAGGTGAGGCTCATCCACGACGGCACGTACAGCGTGGACGTCAACCGCAGGATCAGGGTGCGGGACAAGATGAGGTTCCCATTGATCGACGACGCCACGGCCGTGTTGAGACAAGTGCAGGCGGAGGTCGACAGAGATCGGGGAGGCATTCGCTTCTCGTTGCTGTACGACATAGCAAGAGCTCACAAGTTGATACCGGTGGATGAGCAGGACTGGGGCCTTCAAGCGTTCAGGTTGCCAGGTGACAAGTCCGGGGACATCTTCGTGCACACGAGGGGCACCTTCGGTGTGGCCAGCGCCGCCTACTGGTTTGGAAGGGTCATTGCAGTGGCCGTGAGGTGCAGTCACCGATTGTTGGGTCGGCGCTTCGGGCTGTTGCATTTGATCTATGCGGATGATGGTTGGCTGGCGGCAGTCGGCAAGGACTTCTGGCGGAGGATGATGATGTGGTTCTTCGTGTACGAGCTCCTTGAGATACCTGTCACTTGGGCGAAGGTCAGAGGAGGCACGGAGGTAAACTGGATTGGCTACTGCTTGAACATCCACACCTACCAGAAGGGGATCAACCTGTCTAAGAGGACGTGGATAGTCAGCTGGATAGAGAACAAGCTGGAGCAGGGCGGTGTGGTTGGAAGAGAGCTGAAGTCGGTGTTGGGGCGACTAAGCTTTGTGGCTGGAGCGCTACGACATGTGAGGCCTTTTCTTGCCCCATTGTTCTCTTGGGCATCAGCTCTCTCGCCGGGGACGTTCTCCAAGCTGCCAGATGCCGTGATCATCCTCTTGGAGTTCGTGAAGGAGGAGGTGCAAAGGAGGCCCATGCGGCCGGCTGAGCCGCTGGAGAAGGATCCAGTGGACATCTTTTGTGTGGATGCCAAGGCTGCAGGGGAGGACATTGTGATCGGCGGCTGGGAGACCGGCGCAGCTCCAGACACGGAGTTCTCCTTCAGGCTGAACCGAAGGGTGGCGCCCTGGGCCTATCTGAAAGGTGACCCCTTTCGGAACATAGCCACCCTTGAACTGATCGGGGTGCTGGTGGCAGTCATGGTGCTGGCTCCGAGTTCCACTTGGGCAAGCGGAAGTGCAGCCGTGACGTTGACGGCTTTGACTGACAACTTGGCCAACACCCACGTGCTAAGGAGATACGGCTCCAGCCGGTACCCGTTGTCGATCGTGGCTATGGAGCTGGCGGTTCAACTGGACATTGTCGGCATCGACTTGCAACTGCAATGGGTGCCTCGGGCGCAAAACCAACCAGCTGACGACCTCACCAATGACAGGTTTGATGATTTCCGAGATCAGAACAGGATTGAGGTAGATTTCGAGAAGCTGCCTTTCAAGGTCATGGACAGGCTTCTTGACAAGGCAGGTCAGCTGGATGCAGAGCTCAGGCTTTTCAAAACCTCGAAGGAGGCCAAGCTGGCGCAGTTGAAAGAAGCTTCGATGGCGGCTGGAGGCAAGAAGAAGAAGGGCGAACTACGGTGGAAAGATCCTTGGTGAGGACGGACGGGAGTTTGAAATTGAATTGTTTAAGAGTTTGAAACCTCCACCGTAGGTCCTTTGTGGTAGTAAGGTTAAGCTGGGAGCAAGGTTGTGCAGACCCATCTTCCAGCTAAAGAAGGGGGAATAGGAACGATAGGTCGCACATGAAACCTCTCTAACTTGAATAGGGAGGCTTGAGTCATGTGTGATACCCCTCTGTCCATCTGCTGAATAAGCAGCAGGTGGTAATACATGGCAGACTCGCGCAACCCCTTGAGGAAAGGCTGCTGTGTGTGCGACAGCGCAGTGACATATATATATATATATATACACGTGTATATATATATATGTATACACACGTAACACATACCCCCACATACGCTTTTGACCGGTCAAGGACGGCCTCAGCTGAGGTGAGCTGGAAGCTGCACTGGAGCGAGAGAGAGCGACTTTGCGACAAGCAAATGCAGAGTTGCAGCGGCGGGGTGTGCCTGCTAGCAGGGGCATTGAGATGTGGGACTTGCGCCAGACTCGGCAGTAAAATGATGGCCGTTGGAAGCAAGTGAGTACACATAGGCATGCAACATGACAGACATCAAGATAGACGGACAGAAAGACTGGCAGAAAGAGAGAGAGAGAGAGAGATCACAACCACGACAGAAGGGCCAATGCACATCGGCACTGAATGCTAAAGGGGCTTGTGAATGTTTGTTCCACACCTTCATCCTGCAGACGTTGTTGACGGGCTCCCCAGATCTCCCCAGTCAGGGGATGTTCTTTTTTTGGCCTGCGTCAACTCTACCATTGCCACCAGCAGAAAAAGAACAACTTCTTTCATTTTTGGTATGTAAAGCACATCACTGATGAAAAGGCCGACGGTTTTTTCTTGCAACTCCGAGACGTCACTACCCCACCACACGCCCCCAGCCATGCTGAAGCAAGGTCTTGCATGAAGCAACACCGTGGCTGTGCAACGAACCTCTTCAAACTGCATGAAAGTCCTCAGCCAACCTTCTGTTTGCAACCTCACACGCTGAAGGATCAATGTACACACTGGAAGCCTGAAATCTGAAGGGTCATATTGAGTCATATGTACTGTCAGAGGCAGCGCAGCGAAAAAAGGTCCCCAGCAAGACCTTTGTTTCAGTAGTGTTTGACGTTGCTTGATTATGTTGATTCCTGGGTGGCAGCACGAGGAAGAGCTGTCGAGCTCCACCCCTCTGGCGATACGAAGCTGAATGGGCATAGTCAGTTGGGGATTCATCAAGAGAGACATGAAGCTCGCAATGTTGGAGATGCAGATCCGTGGTCTATCATTTGTTTTGTGTTTTTTGGGCTCTAGCGATTCAAAATGTGAATCGTAGCAGTAGGAGTGGTGATTTGCATGAGACATCCTGTGGATTGCCTGGAGAAACTGTTGGCAAACGGTAGCCGCCTCAGATTGTGTCTATATTTTTAATAGGAGAGGTGGATTGGAAAATCGATGTGAAACAAAATGCCACAGTGTCCCAAGCTGAGGATGGCACCACCCAATGGTCCAAATTTAGTAGTTCCATTAGCCTCTCGGTGCGCCTGGGCAGTTCTTGATCCCAAAGCGCAGAGAGAGTGAGAGAGTGAGAGAGGTGTGTTCAGAGGGTTATGCGACGCAGGCCGGATGATGGTCTCAATGCGGTGGATGAACCACCGATCGAACTGATTATAACCGAGAAATCCGAGCCGAAGATTGAGAAGACCGAGAATGTAGAGGCTTCACCTCCGGAAGGGGTACCAGAGGAAACGCCTGAGATTCCCAAGGTCGAGATCAAGCCCAATCCCAACAGGGAGTCGAAAATCAAAAGGAAAGCTACCGGCTTTGTAAAGGATCCACCACCAGAGGGCGAAGGAAGAAAGTGTTGCGTGCTTATGTGAGTCCGCTCCTTAGGAAAGATGTGTCGATGATCCACTGCACCTAGAATTGAATGCAGATTGTGTCGAACATGCGGAAGCTCGTCACCACATGCTTCAGGCAAGAAAGCGACAAAACTGAGCCATGAGTCGGCCAGGTTAGTAATTGGTCCTGCAGCCACATTGGGGTTGACAAATCAGTGCCCCCTTGTCGTGTGCACATGTGGAACGACCTTCATTACAACTTGTTCAACTGTATCATGATGTGCAAGTGCACTCGGCCATAGCATCTTCAGGCCGAAGGCCGCCGAAATTCAACTACAGTAGTTTGCGAGTCACCAAAACTTGTCAGGACAAAACATTCATGCAACACTTGGCTAAACTCTAATCGGATTACTGCATTCTTGATTCTTGATGAACTGTGCCTGGCTAGTGTTCTTAGCAGCAAGGCTTTCTTGTGGTAATCCAGCTCCACGAGCTAGTCTCACCACAGACCCAGTTGGCAATGGCAATGACCTGGCAAACAGTAATGTTGCAGGCTTGCGGCCAGGTCTGCTGTCCCCGTTGATTTGCGCTTCACCAATGCCGAAATCTTGTATGCACAGCATCACATGGCCATGTTTTGATTCACAATCCGGGGAGTCCGAGTGGCTCAGGCAGCTGTGCCACTCACAAGTATCCGTAAGTGGGGGATTTCTATGTATGTGACAGGACACAGGGTTGGCTTTGACAATTGGTCACTATGCGCAAGCTAATGTGCCCTCATCAAAACTTCCATCCAGGTCGGCACCGCAATTTGTAGTAGGACATTTCCCCATTGACATGGTGCAGCATCATGCGAACAGACTGCGATTGTATGGCACGGGATGGGGCCCAATGGTTTGGAAAGAATGCGAATTGCCTGAAGCATCGCTGTACGATTGCCCACTTCCGCTGTTGGGATGTTTTGGTGGTCCACCCAGCTACTTGACAACACGTGTGGCTATCCTTGATATGCCAGGATGTAGCTTTAGAAGAACACAACAGCTTCCTTCAGGTAAGCACTGCCGGCCTAGGTTTTGGCCACCAAGTCGAGGTGGGGCAGGCCGACCCCTGGCAGTCCAGATATTCAGAGTGTCAGCTGATGTGGACCACAAACGCACACATCACACAAGCTCAACTTGAGTCTCCAACACTCAGGAGACCATCATTTGGGATGAAAGCCGACGCTGCTTTGCTTTCCATTGGCGAAGCTTGCTTGATCAAGCAAGTACAGAGACGTCTCTTCGCCGCAAATTTCCCAGGGTCCCAGTTGATTTTTGCAACCACTCTATCACAAAGAGGATCACTATAGTATTTATATAACTATATTATCTTTTTTTTTTTTTGTCTATCGATTGGTCTAGCTATGATGGATCGATATTTGTATGTATCTATTTGTCTATCTGTTATCTACCGATCGATCGATATACACAAGATACATTTTACCAATATTTTTTTTTTTTTTTTTTTTGCCAAGGTATTTTCACAAACTTCAAACTCTTGCTCCATGGGACCAGCTGAAGGGCTCCTCGTCACTTTTGTGAGGCGTGCTCGTGTCCGCACACAAATTTATGGAGCCTGGGTAGCGCCAGCACACGCTTCCACCTTGTGTGCATCCACTGACTTGGTCGAACTCTGCCCTCAGGAAGGAAGGGTCAGATCTTGCGATCTACTTCTTGGTATGTTCGCGATGGTTGCACGTGTGACTACACATGGAGATGCGCGAGTCAGTTCCTCTCAGACCAAGTCAAGGAGTCAATTTGTGCGAATCATGGAAGAGTTGACGGCAACGGTGTTCTCCACGCTGACCCCGAGTCTCGGTGCCTTGACTCGATGACCTTTCTCCTTTTAAGTCCGGCATTTGGTGGCCAAAGGCACAGTTATGTAAGGACCAGAATGTTGGCCGAACTCTGCCAATCTAAACTACTATGCTGATGGTACGCAATCAGTAGGATGGCACGCAGATGATGAGACTTTGTTTGGAGGAGAATCTCAGGACCATGGTTTGATCAAGTTAGCGTATGCTTATTTTGCTCCTTTTCTTGTTAGCCAGGACTGCTCCATAATCTCTCTCTCCCTTGGTGGTCGCCGCGAATTCTGGACAGACTTCGTGCAATTTGTTGTGAAGAATCGGTGAGTTTGCACAGTCATCCTAAAGGATAGATACTTAGATAGATAGATATATAGATCGATCGATCGATCGATAGATAGATAAAGAGCCCGAGCAAGCAGTTTTTGTATTGTGTTTGAACCGTTCCTTTTATATTTTGCATATGTTTGCTTCTCAGCTCGGGCGTAGTGGCAGGATTGCCTTGAAAGATGAGTCTATGGAACCAATCCAGGAGTGCAGCTTGCGGACATTGGGGTATATACAGAATATAGATATAGGATAGCTCACGCTCCTTCAAGGAAGCTCGCCCCGCCGGCGGGGAAGCTTCCTTGAAGAAGTGCTCGCACTAATGAATTGGTTTCTAGATTTTTAGGGGGACACTTAATCCATGCCTTGCCATTGCCACCCAGAACCCCATGCAGCATTCTGCAGCAGATTTTCCACTTGTAACTCGTAGTTGTGACCTCTCTTTTAGGACACGATTGTTGAGATGGATCTTCGAGATGGAGACGTGCTGAGCATGGAGCCATGCTTGCAATAACCTGTGCGAGAGCTTGTGACAGCTTATCATTCTTGATTACCCTGCTTGGACAGTTGAAGCGTCCTTGCTCCTTGTAGTAAGGCCAGGAGCGCCCCTAGTAGCGTCCTTGCTCCTAGCGAAACTAAGGAGGGCCTGATGCAAAAGCACACAGTGCACTTCCTCACCCGGGAGCCTGTTCAACGTGCAGGATTGAGCCCTCCACGAATCAACATCACCTGGCGATGGATTGTGAACCATCGGCGGGCTTGCGCATTGCGTGCCAAGCTGAGATAAACGGCATGGTTTGATTTGAGCCCGTGAGCACCGATCCAATTCCACAAGCTTTCATTGGGCATTAATGTTGATACTCTTTCGATGCCTTGGCACAATTGTCAAGGCTTTACTATATAGATGGCTATCATTGCTGCCTAGTTGATGCTTTCTCTTTCTTTTCTTTCTTTTCTGATGCCTGTATGCTTGACATTAATGACTGGAATCTTTCCCTTTCTTCTTTCCCTTTCAAAGTGGTATCCCAGGACTCCCTGGACGGTTGGGTCGCAGCTGGGAGCACCTGACGGTTCTTTCCTTGTTCCTCGTTGTTCCTTGATTTATATATATATATATATGATATTTTATATTTCCCCTGATAGCGAAGCTATGGGCTGCTTACTTCAAATAACAATGAGTTGCTCGTGCGCGCTTTCGAGAAAGGTTGCTGGTGCTGGCGCCGGGTGCTGGTGCTGGTGCTGGTGCCGTGACACGCTGCTGCTGTGAGGCGGGTGTGCACGTGGTGGAAACAGGTTGCTGGTGCCGGTGCTGGTGCTGGGTGCCGGGTGCCGCTTGTGGTGCCGGGTGCTGGTGCTGTGGGCTGGCTGTGCACGTGGTGGAGACAGGTGCTGGTGTTGGTGCTGGGTGCTGGGTGCCGGTGCTGGCGCTGGTGTTGTGAGCTGGCTGTGCGCGTGGTGAAAGCAGGGCGCCGGTGCCGGTGCTGGGTGCTGGCTGGCTGGCTGTGCGCGTGGTGGAGACAGGGTGCTGGGCGCTGGTGCTGCGAGCTTGCTGTGCACGTGGTGGGGACAGGGTGCCGGTGCTGTGTGCCGGGTGCATGCTGTGAGCTGGCTGCGCGCGTGGTGGAGACATGGTGCCGGTGCTGGGTGGGTGCTGGGTGCCGGTGCTGGTGCTGGTGCTGTGAGCTGGCTGTATGCACGCAACATCATGCGGTGTTGTCGCTTGAGCGTTCTTTGTCTAGCGTTGCGGGGTATTTACCCTCTTCAGGTTCTGTCTTGGCCGACAGCTGTGTCAAGGGCTGTACTGTTTGCGCGCATACTTTTGTACGTATAATGTTGTATGCGCAAGTCAGGCTCTCAACCAACCATTGTTTCAGTATGTTTCAGCATGCTACACACACAATAGTCGTGCTGGATATTGCTTGGCCTTGGGCGAGTGAGGCCTACGAGCTTTGCCGTTTGTGCGCATACTTTTGCGCGCGTAAACTTGTACGCGCAAGATCATACTGGCCGTATCGTTCTACAGATCGTTGCTTCAAGCATGCTACAAAATCAACAGTGGCGCTGGATACTGCTTGGCCTTGGGCCAATGACACTTACTAACTTACGGGCTTTGCTGTTTGCGCGCATACTTTTGTGCACGTAAACTTTTTCGCGCAAGATCATACGGTGTTATTCCCTGCTGTGCGCGTGGTGGAGACAGGGTGCCAGTGCTGGGCGCCGTTGCTGGGTGCTGGGTGTGCGTCGTGGTGGACTGTGAGCTGGCTGTGCGCGTGGTGCAAACAGGGTGCTGGGTGCTGATGCTGGGTGCTGTCAGCTGGCTGTGCGCGTGGTGGAAAAAGGGTGCCGGGCGCTGGCTGCTGTGTGAGCTGGCGTGCCGGTGCTGGGTGCTGGTGCTGGCTGTGCGCGTGGCGGGCACAGGGTGCTGCCGGGTTGCTGGTGGCGTGGTGCAGATTGGGTGCTGGTGCCGGATGCTGGCGCTGGCTGTGCGCGTGGTGGAGACACGCCACGCTGTATTGCGTGTAAAAATTGGAGCTGCTGCCAACGCAGGGCGCAGCCCAGAAAAATCTTTTGCATGCTTTTGCTATCTGGGGTCTATGCTGAAGTAATTTCTGTTTTGTGGACTTCTTTCTTTCTATCTTTTCTTTTCTTTTTCTTTTATGTGCTTTTCTTTTCTTTTCTTTTTTTCTTTCTTTCTTTCTTTGTTTATTTCTGTTCCCCTCTTTTGATGTGGCCCTGGATGCGCATCTCATAGCAACATTGAACCAGCAGTGCAGGTGCGTCAAAGGGACGTCCTCCTTTGACACTACTGTGACCTTTGGCCTTTCGCCCGCTGCGCTAGAACAGCGTGACTCCAGGGCTTGCACCTGCGCTCGTGCGCGCGCGCACACACATACACACTTAGTCACAGGGTTTGCAGTTTCCATAATCCACAGTGAAATGAATGCGGGAAACGCAAGGTGAAGCGGTCAGCGCAACTGAATTGTTTAACACATTGTTCGCGTGTCTGCAGAACGCGGCAGCGGAAAGCGGCGGAGGGAAACCAGTTGGTTTGGTGGGAGGTATCATGAGGACAGCGTGAACAATAGTTGCCAGGTACAAGTCTGTGCGTCCACAGGCTCATCCACCCATTTCTCTAGCTTCGCTGGCGTCGAGAAATGGGCCGCCAGCCCCCTGCTTGCAATGTGTAGGATCGTGGTTCGTGGAGTGGAAACCCTTAGAAACAGGGTAGGACGCACACAAGCCGGAGAGCGGGGCGCGCTCAGAGGCTCAGAGGCTGCGCTGCCGGTCTGCGGACTGCGATGAGTGGAGGGGGCGGGAGACGTGTCAGTGTGTAATGTTTTGAGGGGTCACGTCGCCAGCGGTGACGGCGACTTGTTTGGCAGGTTGAAATTTATTATCAGCGTTTTTTGGTTGCCCCATCGAACCGGAGTAACAGCGGTCAGGCTGACATGTCACCGGTTCGAAAGGCTGGTGGTGTCGGTGTAAGTGGCGGTGAGAGGAGAGGAGAGGAGAGGAGAGGAGAGGAGAGGAGAGGAGAGGA